CAGGGCAGTTGGTCTCTGGCTCTGCCCGGGGAGAGTGGGAGGGTTGGGCCCTAGGGCCTGGCTGGCTCTGACCTCTCTCCTTCTCCCTGGCCTCCTTCCCTCTACAGTTCCAGCAGACCTCAGAGCATGCCCTGTTCTCCTGTTCTGTGGTGGACATCTTCTCCCAGCTCAACCAGAGCTTTGAGATCATCAAGAAACTCCAGTGTCCTGACCCCCAGATCATGGGACATTACATGAGGCGCTTTGCCAAGGTGTGGGAGTGTGGGTAGGGTTGGAGACAGGGGATGGGATCAGGGTTGGGGAGTTGAGGTCAGAGTTGGAGATAGGCTTAGGGTTGGGGTTGAGGTTGGGATTGAGGTTGGGGTTAGGGTTTGGGTTGAGGTTTGAGTTGAGGTTGGGATTTGCATTGAAGTTGGGGTAGAGGTTGGGGATGGCATCTGTGTTGAGATTGGGGTTGAGTTGGGGCCTGAGTTGAGGTTGGGGTTCAGGCTGGAGTTTGGGTTGAGGTTGGGGTTGGAGTTTGGGTTGAAGTTAGAATTGGGATTGAGTTTTGGATTGAGGTTTGGAGTTGTGGTTGGGGTTGGGGTTTTGCCTGAGGTTGGAGGTGATGTTGGGGTTAAGATCAGGGTTGGGATTAAGGTCATAAGGGGAGTTGTCAATGGCATTTTGTTGGAGTTAAGGTTGGAGTTTGAGCCTGGGGTTGCTGTTGGATTTAGAGTTACTATTAGGGTTGGGTTTTGATTTGGCATTGAGGTTGAAGTGAATGCTGGGNTCCAATTTTTGTGGATGACAAAATGGAGGATTAAAGATGCCAGATGACTTGCACAAAGTGATGGAGCTGGGATTTGAACTTGGGATGTCTGACTCCTGGGCCATGTTGGAGAATGGGATGGTGGCCACCAACTACTGAGGGCCTACTGTGTGCTGTGTCATTCAATGCTGACAGCAGCACTGTGGGATAGATAACCTTCTATTGCCTAGGAAACAAGATGGCAGAGAGTAATCCCATGTGCCCTTGGGTAGTTTATCTGAACCAGGATTCCTGCATGTCTGCGCCCTGCTCTGATAGCAGCTGCTCGACCCATTTCATGGGCAAAGTAACTGAGGCTGGGTGGGGAAGGTGAGCAGGGGAGTAGCCACCCAAGGCCACAGGGCAGGTTCCAGGGAGAGCAGGACTAGCCCCAGCACCACCCAGTACTGGATCAGAACCAGGCAGCGCAAACAGTGAGGGGGACAAGAGGTGGCAGGGTCCCACCCCAGCTCTCCATTCCAGGTGGTTTGAGCCCTTTGTCATCCAGTGGCTGGACGAGAATGAAGAGGTGTCCCAGGATTTCCTGCATGGTGCCCTGGAGCAAGACAGAAAGGATGGGGTGAGAAGGCCAATCGACGACTGAGCTTCCAGTCTGCCCATAGTGACTTCACTCCCTCTGGGGTCCATTGGGATCCAATTTGGGAACAGACATTGGCCTTGGGATGAGGACAGTCTCTGACAGGTGTCTGCCATTTTTGTCTCACTCATGATTTTTAAGGTCTTTCATTCATTCAACTACTATGGAATGTGAGTTCATC